CAGTCACAAGGTCTATTTTTTCGCAGCAGCAATGAAAACTATAGGCCGACTGTTATTTTATGCGTGTGTGCTAGCAAAGCATACTAAGCAATGCATAAACAGGTGATGGGTGTGGGGAAAAAAAGCGCGCACGAAAACGTTTCACGACACGACACTGAAATTTGACGATTTCATTATTCAAACGTAATTTTGTGAGCAGATAACCCGTTCGCATTTTCAATTTCGCCACTTAGTGTAGTCAAATAGCCACCACCCGATCTCCATCCGCCTCCCCCCCACCTTACCTACTCTCGCTGCACCTGGCTCGCTATTGTCGGCCGCGAGCGTGTACGGCATGTCGTCGCTGGTCCGCATGCGGGTAGGCGCGCCCTTGTCCGATGAGTCATGCGATCTTCTGCGTGCACGCTGCGACGCATGACGGTCAGGGTATTGTGAGGCATTGAAAAGCAGAGCCCAGCGTATCGTCGTCATGACGGTGTGCGATCCAGCGAAAAACAAATCCATTAAGACCTTTTCCAGTTGAAGGTCTAATGGAGGAAAAGGGTTAAATAATATAGGCAATGTTGATATAGCCAGGAGTGTATAACATAGACTATATATATATATATATATATATAATATATATATATATATATATATTTATATTTATCAGAAGTAAGATAATAGTGTATTAGTATCATCGCCCAGAGTGATTCTAGAAATCCTGCGGCGCATGATTGGTTTTTGAGAACCTATACTTAGGTTACTAAAGTACTAAGAGCTACTAGTGATTATTTTTTTCGATAATCACCTGTCTAGGGTTTCGCATTGTAGTGGCAGCAAAGAATGGCGCTAGACTTTGTAAAATGATATCGCAAATCTTTGTTCAATTTTTTTTTTAATTATAAATAATTAATAACTAATTAATCTAATCTTAAAATATTTTTTTTTTGAAAAAAAAATTAATCATGGGCAGAATTTATAATTAATTGATTTAAAATAAATTTTCTTTAAAAAAGGTAATCACTCGCAATGATACTAAACAATTATTACTATTATCTCTATTATTCACTCCTGAAAATTATTATATATAGTCTAGGAGTCTATATGATGTAGCAGTCTCTTTAGGAGATTGCCCCCGCGCGCGCGCGAGAAAGAAAGAGAGAGAGAGAGAGAGAGAGAGAGAGAGAAGAAGAGAGAGAGAGAGATATAGAGTGTGTGTATTTGTGTGCGTGAGTGCGCGCGTGTGTGTGTGCGTGCTCGTGTGTGTGTGTGTGTGTGCGTGCGTGCGTGCGTGCGTGTGCGTGCGTAATATAAGTACGAACGATAGTATTATACGAAGGTCTTTTGGTGGGGGATGGATGGGGAATGCGGTAAACAGGCAGGTATCGTGCGTGATAGAGTGAACACGTGTAACATTGCGCGGATAGTTTTAATCAAACGTTTATCGTTTAATCAAATCGTTTGTGGAGGAATTAATAGCTCTTCTCGTTCTTGTAGCTCATGTACATTTTCTTATGGCATGTTGAGTACGCGTACACTAGGCCGAGTCGCGCCTGTGTGGGCGAAGCAGGATGTCAGTTTTCTCACTGCGTAGATGCAACTGCGGATGTAGAATAAGACATGTGTGTGTTGTGAGGCAGTAATAAATTCTGTGCGTGGAAGCTCACTTTTGGACTTTGGGTGTGCTCGGGCTTTTCCTTCGAGGAGTTGCAAGCACAAACGAATTGGGTTTGGCCAATATGCAATTATACAATCTAATACTAAATCAAGGAATAACGCACGCAAGTTATAGGACAATAATAACGAATCAACTGGAGGCTACACACAGTCGGAATTGTCCTTCCCCGGACGTTATCTACACGAACTGAACCTATCACGCGTCACACTCCGCCTGTGACGCACTGCACACTCGCGGTAACGTAGCGTGTCTACTATACATTGCGCGCGGGTTTGGCATCTACGTAGTTTAGAACGTGAGCATCCTGCTTCGCCACACAGGCGCGACGGCTTTAAGCTAGTGTACGCGTTACTCAACATGCCATAAGAAAATGTATAAGCAATGGCGAGAAGAGCTATTTAATTTCTCTCCACAAACGATTTGTTTAAACGATAAACTTTTGATTTAAACGTTCCACTGACTACATCAATCAACAATCCAACATCCTACATCAATACAACTGCGATCTATATCTTACAAACAATACTTGCTGGACGTGTATTTATAGCACTCTGCACTACGCGTAGTCAGTGCATATTTAAGAAACAGCATGTATACATACATATATAATGTATATAATTATTAAATCTTTATGGCATGTAATTCAAATAAAAGTACATGTAGGCCTACTGAAGACAGTCTTTTTCACGGAGACAAAATCTGATGATTGCAATAGTGTTGAGCAGTTAAAATTATAAAAATATAATATATATATTAATATATTATATATATATATATATATGTTGTTGCTCAAAGGTTCAAAGGTATCAACCGCGGGCACACTACATGATAAGGTTCTTCCTATTTATAAATAGATTACTTGTGATAGAAACCTATCATGGAAATCTACGCTTGCACGTCTCTCTCCACATTGAATGTATAATTTTTGGCAAAAAATATTATGCACTTGGCAGATATTGGTCCGCATGCAATACATGCTAACATGCTGAGGGCTCTCTTCCTATTAATAAACAGAGTTGCCGTGATAGAGATTTCACATGAAAATCTACGTTTGCACATCCGCATATTAAATGTATAAATTTGGTATTTGGTAAAAAAACATGCTTCCGATCGGCAGATATTGCGCATGCGCAGACACAGATATTGCGACAGACCCGCAGTAACCGCTCTCTCCTTCCCCTCGACACCCGCTTGCATTACCGCCCCCCCGCTCCCTTCCTTACCCGCGCCCCCGGCCCCCGCCCCGCGCCCCCGCGCTGCGGCGTACGCACCCGTAAAAGACGTGTCGACGACGCCTTGCTCGTGCTGCCGCCTGGCGGCCGTGCCCAGGTAGCGCGTCGAGATTGAAGTCGGCGTCGTTTTCGCAGGGCGGCGCATAGCGGCGCTCGTGTTCCGCAACATGTTGTCCGAGGATCTCTCGCTGTACGCCGGCAAAGCCCGTATCGAGCTTCTTGATGAATCGTTTGAACGCCGGTAGATGGCGCAGCCACGGATAGTAGTTTATGATGCCCTGCGGTGGATGGGAAGAGAGAGAGAGAGGAGAGAGAGAGAGAGAGACGAGAGAGAAAAGAAGAAGAGAGAGAGAGGAGGAGAGAGAGAGAGAGAGAGAGAGAAGAGAGAGAGCAGGTGTGATGGGGAAATGGTTTTCCGATTTATAGTAATGAAGATGTAAACGGCCGCAGCACACCAATACCCACATAACGAAAGACACACGCCTATAGACACATAGCACACCAACATACGGCACAATATCCACACACACCTCACACGCGACACGCACGACGGCACACGCCAACGCTCACGCACAACGCACACGCACACGGTGCGCACACGCAGACGCACGAAGCGCACAGACGCACGACGCACACGCACACGCACATCGCAGACGCAAACAGCAGCACACACATACAGCAGCAGCACACACACACACACACACCTCTCCCCCCCACACACAATTGGCTGCGCTCGCCGCCCCCCCCCCGCCGCACAGCACGGTCCGCACCCTGCCCCCCGCACACACACTCACCTGTAAGTTTCGAATGTCTAGCGAAGCAGCTTCGTTGATATCCTGACTCAGCTTTGTGAAAGCTTGATCGTCGTAGTCGTAGGCGCCTTACCGAACACTATACGACAGCTATCACGTTAATGAGCGATCGTTGTTCAATCAGGCAATCTGTAACGACATGGAAAGATCGTAGATTAGGTATTGGATAAGATGAAGATGGTTCGTATTAGATATACTATCTATCTACGCCTATCTCTCTCTCTCTCTCTATGCTCGTCTTCCCAATCGTGCATCGAGAAAAATCCCACACGCATCTTATCTATCTATCTATCGCGAATCGGATCCGTCGTCGTCTATCTATATCTATTTTTTTAGATATTCTATATGCTACCTTATCTATCTGCCATCTACTCTATCTATCTATCATATCATATCTATTATGCTATTACTATCTATCTATCTATCCTATACTATCTATCTATCTATCTATCTATCTATCTATTCTATCATTATCTATCTTCATTCAATACTATCTATCTATAGCTTCATTCTGTACTACTACATATGCTTGCATGTCGCCGTTCTTAACATGCGTGTGCCATATTGGGCAACCAAAACCTTGAGTTTTGTGAACTGCGTTCCTACAGAATTTGAGTTTTGTGTTTTCAAAAATTGACGATTTTGTGGAACCGGTTCGAGCAGAATTAGAGTTTATGCTGTTTTACAAACATTCGAGTTTTGCTGGAACGCCGGTTCATCGAACAGAATTGAGTTTTTGTGTTTACAAAATTGAGGTTTTGGTGAACGCGGTTGTCGACAAGAATTTGCAGTTTTTGTGAAGCAGGATTGACAGAATTTGAGTTTTGTGTTCACAAAATTGAGTTTGTTGGACGCGGATTAACAGAATTGAGTTTTGTGTTTACAAATTAGAGTTTTATTGTGACGTCGGGATTTGACAGTAATTAGATGTTTGTGTTTTACAAAATTGAGTTTTGTAGTTTACAAAAATTGAGTTTTGTGGTACATGATTGACACGAATTGAGTTTTGGTGTTTCACAAAATTGAAGTTTTTTGTGGACAGCAGATTAAGTTTTGTTAGAACAAAAATTGAGGCCTGTGCCATGCATGCGCGCACGCCGTAAGAAGAAAAAGTAGCACACAATATTTCGGTTCCTTGCTACCTGCGACGGTCCGAGCGGCTACCCCCTATCGATGTCGGCGTACGATGTGGCGAGGCAGACGCGACGCCTCCTCCTTTTGGATGCTTCTTCTCTATGCTGACCTTCCGCATGGCCGAAGTCTCACGCAGTTTGCTGAGCGCGAACTCTCTCTGTTCCTTCCAACGCCTTTTTCTCAGTGAAAGAGATAGGCGCTGCATTGGGGGGAAAAGAAAGCTGAATGCTGAAAATAAAACTGAATACTGAAAATAAAAGTGAATACTGAAAATCAAACGGAATATTGAAAATATAACTGAATATTGAAAATATAACTGAATATTGAAAATATAACTGAATACTGAAAATAAAAGTGAATACTGAAAATCAAACGGAATATTGAAAATATAACTGAATACTGAAAATATAAAGTGAATAGCTGACATAAATATTCTAAAATCATTTCTAGCTTTCGCCAACTATGCCTAGTCGCAACAATGCTAGTTATCCGCTATCTAGCTATTCAGCTAGTAACTATGCAAACTATGCTAAGGCTATTTGCAGCGTATCTAGGCTATCTAGCTATCCAATACCGTGAAATCTTTCGTTTCTGCGTCCCCGCGACGGTAGCGCGCCAACAGAAAGTGAGATAGTTGCCTCCCTGACGATCACTTCCCCTTGCTGCTTGAACGCCTCTCTCGCGAGGTCGACTGTGTTCAGCACACTGGCAAACTGAAACATAACTATGTACCATAATATATCATAATATAATATACATATATACATATATATTATAATATAACATAAGTATTAACAAATATAAATATAATAATTACTTAATTATAAACATAATACTAACATAAATATACATATAATTCATATTATAATTATAACACATATTAGTTAGCATCACGATGATAAATCGTTGAATTCGCAATGGATGAACGAGCAGCAGGTACTATGAACGGCAAATAAGTGGGCCCGCCGTGAGGGGCATATACTATGGCTTGCGCGACGCATTGTTATTATAACGCAGGTTGTGTTTACGGTCAGCGAATCTCCTCGGTCTGGGCGGCCACGCAAGAGTTCGAAACGCCGGTTGTGTTTGTGTCGAACGTTTTTGTTACATCGAATGCACGGAGCAAATTAGGGAGTAATAAATTAAGAAGTAGTATAAGCATGAAAAGTAGATGTGCATGTACATGTGATGGCAGCTAACAAACTTAATGCCTGCTGTTGGGGGCACCTATGCTCTCATAGTTGGTTGCTTTGGGAAGGAATATGGCCTCGCTACCCGCTTCGGGCACTATATAGCTCCTGCCATAATATAAATGATACTTATAGATTATAAATAGACATATATACTACATATATATCAAGAGTCTATAATAGAAAAATCATATTTTTATTATGGACTCTTGATATATACTGTATATATATATATATAGTATAATTATATATCTATAAACGTAGGGGGCTACACTATACATACCCTATGCCTACTGTGATTCCCATGTAGACGGCCTGAATACTCCGGCGACCGTACTCCCTCGCTCAGCTAGCTTGAGGATACACGTCCCCCCCCCCCCCCGCCCCGCCCCCCCCCCCCCCCCCCCATGGTTTGCCGCCAGCGAGACGAGGCGAGCCGACGACGGCAGCGCCGGGGTCACGGGCCGCGCTCCAGCGCGGGTCGCTTCACGTAGTACGACGAGCACGAGAGGGCGTGACGGACGACGCCAACACGACGCTGACGATGTTGCTGCCAAGAAACTGCAGCAGCTGCGCGATGGCTCCTGCTACGGTCACCATCGTCAACGTGGCTGTGGTCAGTGTGTCGGCGCCGGAGTAGGACAGAGGTAGAGCAGAGATAGGATAGAAATAGTGGTATATGGGTATCTAGGATAATGACACAGGCTAGAGGTAACCGGTATGATACAGGCGGTATGTTTCGCTTCACTACACTATCTAGTGTAGTGAAGCGGAACCGGTTATCATACAGGTTAAGGCTAGAGGCAGAAGTGCAGAGCAGGGGCCGGGTTAGTAAATAATATTACAAAAACTAAATATATATGTAATCTCTATCATGTACTTTTGATATATATATATATACATATATATATATATATATATATATATATNTTTCCGGCCGCATAGCGGCGCTCGTGTTCCGCAATGTTGTCGAGGATCTCTCGACGTACACCGGCAAAGCACGTATCGAGCTTCTCGATGATTCGTTTGAACGTCGGTAGATGGCGCAGCCACGGGTAGTAGTTTATGAGGCCCTGCGGTGGATGGGAAAGAGAGAGAGAGAGAGAGAACAGGTGTGATGGGGAAATGGTTTTCCGATTTATAGTAATGAAATGTAAACCCCACACACATACACACATACAAAGACACACGCCTATAGACACAAGCACACACATACGCACACATATACACACACGTACACGCACACGCACACGCACACGCACACGCACACCGCACACGCACACGCACACGCACACGCACACGCACACCGCACACGCACACGACACGCACACGCACACGCACACGCCAACGCACACGCACACACACAACGACACAGCATAACACACACACACACACACACACACACTCCCTCCCCCACACGCACACCCTCCCCCACACACACTCACCTGTAAGTCGATGTCTAGAAACAGCTCGTTGATATCGCTGACCAGCTTGTGGAAGGCTGGATCATCGTAGTCGTAGCGCTTACCGAACTCTATAGACGCTATCACGTTAATGACGACGTTGTTCAACAGCGTCTGTAACGACATGGAAGATGCTAGATTAGTATTGGATAGATGAAAGATGTTAGATTAGATATACTATCTATCTACCTATCTCTCTCTTTCTCTCTCTCTATATCCATCCATCCATCTATCTATCCAAAGTACACACAATATTTGGGTGTTTGGATATTTGGATATTTGACCCACTTCTACCTGTGGGTCAAACGGCTCCCCCTTAGTGTCGCTGAGATGTGCGAGGCAGATGGACGCCTCCTCCTGTATCTTTTTCTCTATGCTGACCTTTCCCATGCCGAACTCACGCAGCTTGCTGAGCGCGAACTTCCTCTGTTCCTTCCAACGCTTACCCTCATTGAAAGAGATGCCTGCATTAGGAGGAAAAACAGAAAGCTGAATGCTGAAAATAAAACTGAATACTGAAAATAAAAGTGAATACTGAAAATAAATATCTAACTATCTAGCTATCCAACTATCTAACTACCCAGCGATCCAGCTATGTAACTATATAGCTATCCAACTATCTAGCTATCTAGCTAAGTAACTATCTAGCTATCCAACTATCCAACTATCTAACTATCCAGCTATTCAGCTATCTAGCTACCTAGCTATTCATACCGTGAAATACTTCGTTTTCGTCCCCCAGGTAGCGCGCCAACAGGAAGTGATAGTTCCTCCCTGACGTCACTTCCCCTTGCTGCTTGAACGCCTCTCTCGCGAGGTCGACTGTGTTCAGCACAACTGCAAACTGAAACATAACTATGTACCATAATATATCATAATATAATATACATAGGCCTACATATATATTATGATTATAACATAATATAACATAATATAATATAATATATTATAATTATAAAATATGACATAATATAGCATATATATCAAGTGTCTATAATAGAATAGTCCAGGAATATAGCTTAATGCATTTTCCATGCCAATAATAATTAAAATAGAACTTTAAATTACAGAAATATGTCCTTGGATAGCAGAGATATTGCAAAATGATGGAATGGCGGGCCATTTTTGGATGTTATGCAAATTTATGCAAATTTGCGGCCTGGGAGGATTCTTACGACTTATTAGGATGGGTCTGGGGTCTTCTCACAAAATGCCCTGTTGAAAAAAACACGTACCACATATAATATCTATTTGCTTACCTGTTGGTCCCATGTAGAGGCTGTATTGGTCCGTACGTCCTCGCTACAGCTGCCTTGAAGGTACGCCGCCCCATGTTTGGCCGGCCAGCGAAGACGAGCAGCGACGTAGGGCCAGCCGCGGAGGTCCGGGCGGCCGCTTCCACGCAGGTCGCTTCACGTAGTACGACGACGCGAGACCGTGACGACGACCAACACCGCTGACGATTTGCTGCAAAGAAACTGCAGCAGCTGTGGCGATGGCTCCTGCTTACGGCGTCACCATCGTCAACGTGGCTGTCGGTCAGTGTGTTCGGCCGCCGGAGGTAGGACAGACGTAGAGCAGAGATAGGATAGAAAGGTGGTATATAGGTTATATAGCGTTAGAGAGCAGCGCAGGCAGAAGTGCAAGCACAGAGCAGAGATGAATAAGAGATAGCTGGCCGGATCAGTGCTATATAGCAGGATTTTCAGCGTGGGGGCATCTGGGAGGGCCTACATTTCTCTTTGGGAGGGTTGGAAGCACACATATTAATTTTTTACTGAGATGTGGTTCGAACCCTCTTTCTTTGTATTATACTGTTAATTCTAACGGCATTGTTTTTAATTCAAATGTTTTTTTTATCAAGCATGAATTTTTAGTAGGGGGGCACCTGGGGGGGGCACAACAAATTTGTGGGGGGCAGGTGCCTCCGCAGGTACGCCCCTAAGTGGTATATGGGTATCTAGGATAATGACGCAGGCTAGGGGCAGAAGTGCAGAGCAAGGGGTTAGTAAATATATATGTAATCTCTATTATGTATACTTTTGATACATATATATATATATATATATATATATATATATA